GGTATACATGTACACATTCAGGTATACACAGGTATACAGAAACACATTCAGGTACACACACAGGTATACATGTACACATGCAGGTATACAGAAACACATTCAGGTACACATGCAGGTATACAGAAACACATGCAGGTATACAGAAACACATTCAGGTACACACACAGGTATACAGGTACACATTCAGGTATACACAGGTATACAGAAACACATTCAGGTACACACACAGGTATACATGTACACATTCAGGTATACACACAGGTATACAGGTGATTATGTCTAAATGACCTGTAACTTTAACGGCTCCAGATGTTAACTGAAGTGATGTTTCAGCTGGTGTGGCTGGTCAGAGAGCTGGTGAAGAGTGGAGTGATGGGAGCTGATGGTGTCGTCATGACGCTGCTCAAACAGATCGCAGGTCAGAGATATTAAAATAAATATATATATATATATATATATATATTAGTGCTGGGCAACTTAACGTGTTATTATCGTGTTAACGCATTCATTAATTAACGCCAACAATTATTTTATCGCACATTAACGCAGTTTTTTTAAAATGCAATACACACCGTTGATGTCAGCAAATCACCCAAACAAATGGTGGAGGAAGTCTTCAGACTACGTTGATGCAGCGTGTGGGAGAAGTAGAGATAAACTAAAGCAAGACAAGCTAACAGATGCTACAGAGAAGTGGAGACAAACTGCAGGTTAGTGTTGTGGAAGATGTCGGCCTGAGGAACGTTCTCAAGGTGCGTTCACGTCGCGTTTGGTGTGAACGCACCTTTAGGATCCTAACGAATGACGTCACGTATGAGCCTCAAGATGCACCATCACCAGAAGAACACACGAGTTGTGTTAAAGGAGAGGACGACTAAAGCGACGGCGTTACAACGTGCAGCAGCTGCTGCTCTCACTGGAGACTACTGGACATCGCTGGGTCACCTTCATCACCTCTGAGTTACAGCATCATAGTGATGAAGAGTAGAGCTGGGTCACCATCATCACCTCTGAGTTACAGCATCATAGGGATGAAGAGTAGAGCTGAGTCACCATCATCTCCTCTGAGTTACAGCATCATAGTGATGAAGAGTAGAGCTGCATCACATGCTCTGACTGTCATGAAGACACAACACACACATGTAGATGGAACGTGTGGAACATGTTGTTCCTGTTGCACAGCAGTGGAACGTTTCACACACAGTCACACACTGAGCACAGATAGTGAAGAGATAGAACTGCTGCTGTGTGAAGAGAACACTGCTGCTAACAACAACCTAATGTGTTTAAAGTGTTTACAAACCAAATGTTGACCTTTTGTTCATATAGCAGTACTTTAAAATAAAAGTGCACTACTTTCAAATTCATTGTTGAACTTTGAGCATAACAATGAGATTAATCGTGATTAAATATTATAATCGTTGCCCAGCACTTATATATATATATATATATATATATATATATATTACACACATGTTGTCGTGAGCTCTCATTGTGTGTTTTAAATCCAGGTGGCGATATTTCCACCAAAAACCTCTGGTTGGCTGAGAACGTTCTTGACATCCTGTTAGACCAAAAGTAAGTTTAACTTTGAAATCTATTCTAACCAAAGTTTAGTCAGACTGAAGTGCATGTGATGTGTTTCTGAAAGTACTTCATGCAAGTATTCTGTACTGTGAAGCAGCTAGAGGGTCTGTACTGTGAAGGGTCTGTACTAGTGCTCCCGTATGATATTCATTTTTCACACACCGTCATACCGGTGCATAGCCGAAACAATTTCTGTCGTTCTTCAACAGGCAGCAGAATATATTGTTGGCCGCTGTGAGCGCTACAGTTGGAGCTAGTTGTGTAGAGTGTATTGAGAGGGAACCCTAGTCATGGTTATAACTTTATAACAACAATTAATAACCCACAACTAATGCTCTTTAACAACAAAACACCATGACACAACAGTTTGTGATACGCAAACAATTTGTAACACTAATAATTGTACATTTATAAAATTACACTGCCGAACTGCATGCTGGGTACAGCTCGCTAGCTAGCCCGCTAGCACAACAGTCTGCTAACAGCGAGAGGCTCTGTCGCTACAGTAACGTTACATTAAAGAACAGAAAGGAGCGATGCAGGATGAAGAAAGACTGACCGGAGATGCACCGATAGAGTCTGTCCCCAAGAGAGGAGCCGGGCCGTCGGATTCGAGGTCGTTGACCGGTAACGTTAGCACGAGTGAAACAGTGAAGCCAAAGGGTCAGACATCGCTTGAAGAGGCATTAGCTCGAGGCAGCATATGACAAGAAAAGCAAGCGGCAGAGCAACATTACAAACGCAATAACGATCCAGCTATGCAAGGACATGGTCCCGCTACAGACAGTCGAGAACGACTCAGAGCAATGATTAAAACACTGGATTCAAGGTACGTCTTGTACTTCAGCCAAACTGCTATCCCAACATTATAGGAACAAACGAGCACCCTCTAGTAATCAAAGCCTTTATACATGATGACATTAACATGTTTTTTATATTCTATGTACTCCTGACAGTAGAGTAAGCCACTACAAACATATAGAAAAACACAGTCGAGGGAAAATAAATACCGTGATACAAATTTTTGGTCATACCGCCCAGCAGTAGTCTGTACCGTGAGGGGTCTGTTCCGTGAGGGGTCTGTACCGTGAGGGGTCTGTACCGTGAGGGGTCTGTATCGTGAGGGGTCTGTACCGGATGTCGATGGAGGAAGTCAGTAGCCTGCCAGCCGTTTGACAGATCTCGTTTGTTTTGTTTTTTGAATAAATCATGGCCGAAGCTTCGCCAGAATGATGGAGGGGTTTGTTTCTAAGCGCACACGGCTCGTCCGGTTGTACTAATACTGTGAGTGAGGAGCGGAGGACCGAGGCTATCGTTAACTGCTGCCAGGATGAGTCATCAGAGTAGTGTAAAAAAAGTATTTCAATCGACTCGGGCACCGAAAGGAAGCACCGAAATCTGCGTTGCGTTTTGGTCCGGTAGATACCGGTCGTATAGGAACCGGGTTTCGGTACCCAACCCTAACCGTGAGGGGTCTGTACCGTGAGGGGTCTGTACCGTATATATCTGACTATCTTCCTGTCTCTAGAGAGTGGGTGTTGAAGAGTGGGATGCTGATAGCGATGTCAGTCTACACGTACCTTCGTCTTATCGTCGACCACGGAGCTCCGAATCTCCTGATTCTGCGTCAGAAAGAGGTTGACTACTGCATCTCCATGCTGAGGGAGAAGGTAAGGAAGGAAGTGTGTGTGTATTGATTACCCAGGTGGTTACCATGACGATCCCGTCTCTCTGTGTAGTTCATGGAGTGTCAGATCATCGGCAGAGATCTGGTCCGTCTGATGCAGAACGTTGCTCGGATCCCAGAGATGGAGCTGGTGTGGAAGGACCTGCTGCACAGTCCACAAGTCCTCAGTTCTCAGTTCACTGGTAAACTACACTACCCACAATCCTCAGTACACTGGTAAAGTACACTACCAACACTCCCCTGTAATCTGATGTGTTTCTCAGGTGTTCTCCAGCTGCTCACCGCTCGCACCTCCAGGAAGTTTCTGGCCTGTCGTCTCACACCGGACATGGAGACCAAGCTGCTGTTCATGACCTCCAGGGTAACTTTACCTTCACACACACAGTATATACACAGTATACACTAAATACACACAGTATATACAATATATACACCCTGTACACTCACAGTATATGAACAGTACACACCAGTCATACACCTGGATGACTGACTTCTTACCTGTGTCCAGGTGCGTTTCGGGCAGCAGAAGCGCTATCAGGACTGGTTTCAGAGACAGTACCTGTCCACAGCAGAGAGCCAATCACTGCGCTGCGATCTGATTCGCTACATCTGTGGAGTGGTCCACCCGTCCAATGAGGTGCTGAGCTCCGACATCCTGCCGCGCTGGGCCATCATTGGCTGGCTGCTCACCACCTGCACGGTAAGGGGGCATCAATCTGAAGCTCATCATCTTTTAAAATCAAGAACTAACCAATCGATTGATTCTCCAGTCAAACGTCGCCGCCTCCAACGCCAAACTGGCTCTCTTCTATGATTGGCTGTTCTTCAATCCTGAGAAAGACAGCATCATGAACATAGGTGACACACACTTTTACCTTTCTACACTTGTGAGGACCCTCTTTGATAAAATGTGTTCACCAACTCTGACCTAACCCTCACATGATAGTTACCAATACTAATAATGCTTACCAATACTAACTAATGATGGTTACCAACACTAACAAATGATGGTTACCAACACTAACAAATGATGGTTACCAATACTAACTAATGAGGGTTACAAATACTAACTGAGGGTTGCCAATACTGAATAATGAGAGTTACCAACACTGAATAATGAGGGTTACCAATACTAACAAATGAGGGTTACCAATACTAACTGATGATGGTTACCAATACTAACTAATGATGCTTACCAATACTAACTAATGAGGGTTAACGATTCTAACTAATATAAACCTGAGCCGGCCCTGACTATAAACCAGTCCTATATTATTAACATATAACTAGTAAAGTTAGTGACTCTTGTTGTGTTTGGTTATTTTGTGTCAGAACCAGCCATCTTGGTGATGCATCACTCCATGAAACCTCATCCTGCCATCACTGCTACACTGCTGGACTTCATGTGCAGGGTAACACAGACACACACACAATCAAACACACGGACACACAGACACTCAAACACACAGACACACACACTAAATCGATCATCTCTCCTCAGATCATTCCTCACTTCTTCCCTCCATTGGAGTCTCAGGTCCGTCAGGGCGTCTTCAACTCGCTCACCTTCATCATGGAGAAGAGAGTGCTGGCGTAAGAAGCACACACACACACACACAGTCAGTCCACCACCTATTGATTATTGATCAGCCTCTCTGTCTCTCAGTCACCTCGCTCCACTCTTTGATAATCCAAAGTTGGACCGAGAGCTTCGATCGATGCTCAGAGAGAGATTCCCTGAGTTCTGCAGCTCGCCCTCCCCCCCCGACTGAAGGTACCACACACAGAGACACACGCACAGACAGATTATGAGGTTTTATAGATCTGATCTTTAAAGTGTTGATCCTTCAGAATCCAGTCTTGCTGGATGTAGAATGTCAGAATCAGAGTTTGTCAGGTTTTGTGTGTGTGTGTGTGTGTTTGTGTGTGTCCTCTAGTTAAGATGGAGGAGTCCACTTCCTTAGAGATGGACAACCATGTGTTGGACAAGGAGGACGGTTGCTATGACAACACAGAGGCGGCCTTCAGCGATGATGAGGAGGAGGTCCACAACAAAGGTGAAGAACCAGTTTAGACTGGTTTACGTTTAATCAACCACTGTCACCAGTACAACCACTGTCACCAGTACAACCACTGTCACCAGTACAACCACTGTAACCACTATAGCCACTGTAACCACTATAGCCACTGTAACCACTATAGCC